ATTTCAGAGGGTTCGCTGTAAAGCGCTTCTCGAGCGCTCCATAAAGAAACGCGGCCACACTGTCTAAACTCTTGCCATTCTACACTTACCTATTTTATTTGTCAACCTCTAACTCATCATTCTCTAATCATATCTAAGTTATTATGTATCTAAATATGTTGAATATGTTGTCTAACTGTAAATAGTTGGAATTTCTTATATTTTCCTATGACAGTTTTTATTTGAAATCCAACAACTAAATTTGCTGACTTTTAATCCCCCCCTCTAATATGTTTCTAACTTTTTTTGGCTCAACTTTAATCTCTCTCCATCTCATTAAATTTATAAAGACAATATAAAATGTAAATACATATCAGCTCTTTTCTCACTGCAAACTACAATAATTCACCTAATATTAATAAATTTAAAAAAATGTGCTTAACTTTGATAAAATCCAAAACAGCCCTAAATCCTAAATCTCGTTTTTGTAACACTTTAAATCTATCATATCTCAACACATGGTTTAACATTTCCACACATTTTCATAATTAAATGTATATAATTCTCATCATTTCCCCTTTCTTTCTGATTCAGAGAGTTCTTGTGTATCCCGAAGGCATCCCATATTAATAATGTAAATACAGGTTTAATTATAAATTTTTGTCTATGTTTTCTTGCCTTTAACGAAAAGTCCCAAAAATATTTTAAAATGAACACAAATTGTAAGCAAAACACAAACAGTGTAATCAATTTAAAGTCTAAAATCGTGAAAGTGACAGTTAATAGAAATATAAATATTAATGACATTTACGAAAAAATAATGTTCAAAACCGAATTAAAATAGTATTTATGAGCAGTCCTTTAAAAAAGAGAAAAGAAATATCTGAGTTAAAAACGAGAAAATTTCACATATTATTGAATAAAAGAATTTCGCTGATTCTCCCTACACTTAGGACTGTACGCGATCGAAGCGCTCGAAGTGTCAGAAATATTTATTAAGCCAGTAAAGTAGCGTTACAGCTATTGGCAGCGCAAGGACCAGTATATCTATAGAAGTAGACATTTGGCGCCATCTCTTATCTAAATTAATAATTATAATTTATTAAATAATTAAATACTAAGTAATTTGGTACTAGAGGTAGATACAGGGTTGTGAAGTCGTGTAAAAATCTATGGACACCGACTCCGACCAGGGGCGGACTTATTACCAAAATAGGCCCGGGAATTCTGATGTCATCACGTGACCTCAGACTAAAAGATTCGATAAGTAGACTTCTAATAAAGATAGAACATAGAAATGTTAAAGTTAAAAGACTCATCTAAGTACAGTAATACCCCGAACTTACGCGATAGGTGGGACCGAGCGGTACCGCGTAAGTCGAATTCGCGTAAGTCGGGGTATAATTTTGCATATAAATACATACAAATAATTTTTAATTGGGGCCGGAGACTAAAGAAAATAATAATTTAGGAAAAAATGTTTAATAAAATCTTAGATAATACATATGTATAACAAATTAGGCCTATATTATTTTACAATNAATTTCTGGTTCTCGCACATATCTGACAGGTTTTGATATTTATCGCGTCTCGCCTCTTCTCGCCACATATTCTCGCTCGCTCGCGTCTGCATAGTCGCACCCTAGAGTTATTGTGTTTGACTCGAGATTCGGAGTTGGTGAATACCAATTTACCAATAACTCGAGAGTTAACCCTAACTCTAACTCTAACTCGCGTTGGTGAATACGGGGGTTAGTGTCATGACATCAAATTTCCTTATCAGTGAAAATAGAGATAAGTAGTGTGTATTTGTGGTGTAATGTAGTGCTGTGAGAATGATGTGTTGTGTGAGAATGATATCATGAGAATGATATCATGTTGTGTGAGAATGATATCATGCATGATATCAATATTTGCATATGCAAAAATGAATGGGAACAATTTGGATGTTGCAAGGTGATACCATAAAATATATGCTATACCATTGTGCAACATTGTTTTGGAGGCAGCACAAATCATCTACAAGACATTGCCTGCCTTATTATTGAATAAATATTCTGTGTGCATTTCCTGATGATCATTCACGTCAGCAATAAGCAATGTAAAAGCTGGAACTGAGATGAATAGCCATAAAGTATTTAGTTGCTGAAATTGAATTAACAAGATTTTAGAATTGTAAAGTATTGATCTTTTAGCAGAGATGGAAAAACAGAAGCGCGACCTTGTCAATTGGACCAACGTGCGGTCGGGCAGTATACCACTTGTAAGGTGTTGACTTGTAAACAGAGGGAAAACAAAGGGAGCGCCGACTTTGTCAATTCGACCCACCTGTGGTTAGACGATAGACCATTTGTCATATGGTAAACAATTAAATGTAAACAAGTGGCGGACATTTATGTAAGCTTCACTCTCGTTGGATGACGGCGGACCCTAGTGTAAGCTGTTCGGGTTAGAAAGGGTTGTGATTGGTCGGAAGTCCCCGTCCAAAAAACCCTTAAGTTGTGGGGCGAACGGAAGAGAGAGGAGAGAGAACAAGAGACTGATACACGGTAGTCTCAGGTACTTGGGATACCCGCCGAGAGCAGAGAGAGTGTTCTCCTCTGGTAATCATCTCAGGGACGTGTTAGTGCGGAGACCGGATCGACCGTGCAGTTGAGCCAACTCCACAAGCTGACGGAGACCTCTCCAAAGTTTAACAGTTCCCGGAAACCAATCTAGTACGTGAGTCACCACGCATTGTTATTCTGTATATATATTATGTTTTTGAACTTGTACTTTCTGCATATAGAATCTATAAATAAACTGTAAATATTATCAATTTGAGTGTGGAGGTGTGCTTTCCATCGAACCTGGATCACTATATCGAATCGTGATACACACGGAAACCAACTCAACGAGACGGAGTTTGAGGAAGAACATCACTAAGATCTTCACTAGTTTTCTTTGTATTTTCTAAAATATAAATACATATTGTACGATTATTTTCATATTTTAACGTACTTTGAATTACTTAAAATTAATATTTTATTATAACCGCATTATGTATTATATTACAAATTTCTATACATATGAAAATCAATGATAAGATTGCTATTGTATATTTGAATGTAAATCCGTATAGGCATATTCCCAATGGAAGCGCGGTATTGTCGAATATGGGACAGCTTCCGCAGTATTGTCGAATATGGGACAGATCCAAAATATTTGAATGGTGTAAAGCAGCCAGATTATACGCATTCGCGCTTGAGCTTTACAGAGCACCAACCTCTCGCGATTTAGTTCGTGGATGTTACACACCAAAATATCGTATAATGCTTCCAATAATTCTATCAAGGGTCGGTACAGCTTTGTGAGATCCTGAGACGATTAATGAAGAAAAACGTCAAAATCGGTTAAATTATGAGGTAAGAGTTACAACACCGCATTGATGACATCTAGGAACTTCGAATTTGTTTGCCTTATATAATGTGAAAAGAGTCGTAACACCTGGCAAGAAAGTATCAACAATCCGGCCAAGTCAAATTCTTACTGTCCGCTTCGGCCAATGAGATGGCATCTCTTCAACTTAGGACCACACCACCTGATTTTCCTTCCACGCTCAGTAGGATAAAAAGCTGACTTCAGAGGTTCGGCGCGGACATAGTTTGAAGAGCCAACAGACGGAAGCTCTACCCGCCAATATCCTCGCAAATTTCAACTTCCATATCGCTGCTGCAAAGATTCATGATCGTTTAGCCTGGAAATGCAGACAGTGGACCGTTTAGGAGGTATTCAGCACAGATCTCTATGTCTATTAGCATATAAGTAGATAGATATAAGATAGTTTGTATCTTAGATATATTATCAGATAGAGATGATGATTTGGCTTGTATATTGATTTAGTGCCGTCGTTTCAATATACTCCTTGCTATAGCTCATTAAACTTTTGTTATTTGTTAACCTCGTGACCTGTCTTTACTCGGAGAACGGTCACCCTATCGACGGACTCATCACACCTCCCCATTCGATGTTAGAAAAAGCCTTCCTATATAATTCTAACACGGTATAGCCATCCAGTGACAATTGAGCGGCATTTACCGAACTGACGTCGGAAAACGGGTTTAGAGGATTAGCCTCGATCCTCCGGCTTCTCATAGCTTCCCTATCCTCAAATGTCACCGCACGCCACTGATGTATGGATGTTAGACTGTGTATGGGGAACGATTTTGTTCACACTGTTTGAAGCCTAATAACTTTTGTGGTTTTTAAATCCCCGAGTCGGGTGATTTAACACAGGAGTTATTAAGCTTCAAAGTGTTTGAATTAAATCATGCTCCTAAAACATCTTAACGGGGTAAATATACTATTATAAAGTGACAAAAAGCTTAATTTTGAGGGTAGAAACGAGTTTTACTTAAAAAAAATTGTGAACGCTAATAACGAATAAAATATTCATTAAGTCCAACCACACTGGAGATATCACACATGACTCCTATGTTTCCATTCTGTCTACCTTTAATAGAGAATCAAAATTTAATAGCATAAATGCTCCTTTATACACAAGTTACTGCGCCAAATTTCTTTTCTTAAACTTTATCCATTCTGAGGTATTATTTAATATCTTAGAACAGAGAATAAAGAAATTAAACAAATTAGACGCCAGCACACACACTCGAAGTTCCCCTTTTATTTTACATTTTTCGGGTTCAGGAGGTTTCTAAACCTGTAGATTTGCAAGAAACTCGGACGATTCAATACTTTTCCGTTTTATTTACGCAAGTTGGAAAGTAAAAAGAAATCGGAGTCGGCGGATTTTTGACAACTCCTACTCCGACTCCACAGCCCTGGGTAGATGGCGTAATTGGCAAGCTCACCGCACGGTAAGCGGAGGTCGCGTGTTCTAAGACACGCTCCGCTTACCTTCTTTTCTTCCAGATTGTTCTAAATTATTTAATAAATTATTAAAATAATAATTATTAATTTAGATAAGAGATGGCGCGATCGTTTGGATTTATTAAATAAAAGACGTACTTAGAATGGTTAACGTAACGTGTGACGTATTTGTTATGTCGTTCGATTTAATCGACAATAGTTTAAAAGTGTTCTATTTTAATTTTGTAGTAGACGATTTTACGTAAATTCCGAGTTTTTCTCACTCTATTTTGTTATTTTGTCGAAAAAATTCGATTTAAAAAACTTCAAGAATGTAAGTAATTTCGTATAAAATTAAATACGGGAATTATTATTAGAAAAAATGAATAAATGATGATATTCACACTAATTTGTTCCAATTTAAATTCGAAAAAAATACATTTTTGAATTAAGACGCAGATTAGAATAAAGTACAAGTGTATGACCTAACTAACTTATTCTCTGTTTACAGTTAATAAGGCAATTAGCAATAACATGGGCATGCCGACTAAATGTTGTTGCTCATCAAAATTTACTTACGCAGCTAAAAAATCGACTTCTAAAGAATAACCTCTGCGTGTTCTACACTACTTTATTAAATTATAGAACGGTCCTTTTAAATTTCAAAAACCAAACACAGCAAAAATAAAGCGACGAAAGCACTGAAAACACAAGAGCGTTATTCAAGAGAAGCTTACACAACGTACTCATTATAGCGCACATTTTGTATACTTTATGAAAAATATTTATTTTTTCGTATAATTAATATAATATCCTAACAATCCTACACATATTAGGCAACACTTTTCCCAAGTAATGAAGTTTACTTATTTACTACGAATGTCCTGCAGTATGAATTGTTTCTTTTATCTTTGATAAAAGACTACATGTTAACGTTTTAAATATTTAATTTTTTATTACAGATTTTATGAATATTCTACTAAATAAATATTTGCGCCACTAGCAAAACAGTTAGATAAAATTTGCGTGAAAAGCCAAAAATCTGATATGAAATACCTGACGAAAAAGTAGAGCTACATACTTAACGACCAATAGCAGATTTATCGAAATCTTTTGAAAGGAGCGCAGAAAGGTAACAATGTTTTACATAACTTATTCCCTGAGCTATCTTCGTCCCGTACGTTCTCAATTACCCTTAAAAAGGCTCTTTTCCTACAGACTATAAAGAGTTCATCTTAAGTACTCGAGGTGTAGTAAAATTTGAATCAAATGTGGAGTTTATATGCAAAATCTTTTGTTCTTTTAGAGATTCAGTAATGGTTTTCTTCTACAGTTAACGGTTTGTTTCAGAACTCCAGCAGAATCATTTTCTTTTCTTCCTTGTGGACCTAAATCTGATAGAAATGTATTACAGAACACGAAAGTTGGCCAAGTGGATAAAAACACTGAACACTCGGTTTTGTCAGGGGTTCTCGCCTGATCGGCAGGCTACCTGTGGATTTTTTCAGGTATTCTTCATGTGTTTAAGCGGTGCACAAGGAGCTGCATCTCCCTTCTGAGGGATTTTCCCGAGTAAAGCCGAGTGCCTCAGGTAGTAAAATGTTTTGTGAGGCATATTGTTTCTTTTCTGCACCCCTATCTAAAGATCTCTGAAGCCACTGTATCGAAAATAAAATAAGTATATTAAATTGCAGACACTCATTGTAACAAACTTTTTATTTTACAATTTTTACTTACTAATTATAGCCGCTACTGTATCGTGTACACAATTTGCATGACAGATATTATTAATAATGATGAAAACTGCCATATTCATTTGCTTCTCTGTGTTGTTCCTGAAAGCGAATTCTGAAAAATTGGGTAAATATCTTAAAATTACACCGTAATGAATCAATTATATATATTAAATTTAAATATTATATAATGGAAGTAGCAGTGGATTATATTTTTTAGTGTTTTCAGACTGTTGTAAAGTGCCTGTAAAAATAATTCCATGTGGATTTTGGGAATCGTCGGTAGGATGGTATTATAACACCACTAGTAGACAATGCGATGTCGAATTGTTAGGGTGCATAGATAATTGTAATGACTTCGATTCGTGGAAAGATTGTTATGAAACTTGTATAGGAGACTGTCTGGAAGTAGAGAATTGTTGAGAAAATTAGCCTTTTATATAAACTGTATAAGTAAATTAGTTTCATGATTGTTCATTTTAGTGACGAGCCATCTCATTGAAAGTTATTCGACAGATTGTTTTCAAATATCTCTACAGAATTTGATGTATTGTTACAATGTAAGTAAGAATGTGAATAAAATATTTGAAATACTTGATTTCCATTGTAAATTTTACTTATTGATATTAAAATTTTTAAAATAATGAAAAGTAATAAAACTAAATACAATTTGTCATTGAAACACTAAATGTGTATTTATCGTATTTTCGTGAAGATTAAATACTATCTACGTTTAAAAAAGAATTTGAAATGATGTGTGGATTTTATGCCGATATAAATTGAAATTAAAGATGTGAGGATCCGAATCCAGACTTTCTGTATGTTTATATCATTATATCATAATTTCTCATCGTAACTATAAACTTGATACAAAACTGTCAACTTTCGCACCTGAAAGCAAAACATCTGTTAAGTTCTCAGGCCTGACAACAATGCTTTCTCATCACCTCTTGACCTAATATCTCGATTTCATCGGTTCAACAACGAAAAAAATCAAGAAACTAAGGCAGTCGTCGCCCGTCCTTCGAAAGAGTCAGTTGTCACCCGTACCTTGTCCTAAGTGCCTCAATATTCGGATATCTGTGAATATATTTTATTTTACGTTCTTATATCCTACTAAAATATCATCGGAAACAATCGTCTAACACCCTTGCGGATACTGTACGTTCCATCAGGCTTACGGATATTTCATCTACAGGATATCCGAACTGACATCCCGAACTTCCTTTCTTTCACCAAGAATGTTCTAGATCAAGACCCGATTCTCAATAAGGTATTTATCGCCACGCGCAACTACTGTAAACTCTCTCTCTCGATATATTGTATGTCCTGTGGTTACCAATTAAACAGTTGTTACGTTAACTCGTCTCTGCGTAAGTCACTTCCGATGCGTTGTCTCTCTCTCCATCCCGAATCCATTCGCTCACACACGCGATCGTGCACGTGAGAACATAACGGTTTCTGTGTCTGTCCGTAAAGACACAGTGGTGTCAGTCCTGACGAACCTTGTCATTGCGATCTTCGCCGACGCGATGTCGACCTTTCGGTCCCGTGGTGCCAAAGTATAGGGAGGCCCTTCGGCATTGTCAGAAATATTTATGAGTGTAGAGCAACGACTGATTGAATGAATACAGGATACAGTGGTGCAGATTATAGATAGGTCTTATCTTTATTTTAGCAAATTTGTGCTTACGCCATAGAGGTTACACACAAAAATACCTTTTGTTCATTGCAAAGAGTTACTGCTGTCGACGTTCGTTTTACGGACTTCAGTATAATGGATTTCGAAGACAATGGACTAAACTTGTATGTTTCAAAATCAGTGTTTGAGACTCACCTGGAACGTCGATCCTCTAAGCTTCACTCTATCAAATTATAAAAGGTCTCGTTTGATAAGATCGGTCAGTAGCCAGTGTATGCAACAAGTCTATGTTAGAGATGGACCTTCATTTTGATACTCCTAAGTTTAAATTGTTATGGAAACCACTCGAATCCTTTGTTAGTGATCGCAGTTAAGCTGCGCACCAGTGGCGTGCCGTCATTAGAAGCGTTGGAAGCGCCGCTTCCCTCGTATTCTCTAAAAAATAAATAAATATTAATTTTAATTATATGAAAATGATCGCACAATATTTTATTATAACCGCATTATGTATCTTATTACAAATTTCTATACTACACGTGGAAAAAAAAAATAAGATTGCTATTGTATATTCGAATATTAGTGACGGAGTGGAAGCGCTGTATTGCCAGCATCAAAAAAAGCCAGATTCGCGCATGCGCTTTACAGAACACCAACCTCACCCGGTTTAGCTGGTGGAAGCCTACGACCTTGGGTGAAAGCTGCACACATATAAAGATTCCAATTCTATCAAGGACCGGTTCTGGGCTGTTAGCCGCCTGCCCACTAGATATTTCGATTACGTGAATAACGAGTAGATTTATAACTTAACCCAACCGATAAGAATTTACTGGTATGTTTTTACGATAGTTCTGTATAGTTGACAGGAGTTTAAAAAAATCCATTAAAATATTTGATATATTTATTCCGCTCTCCGATTTTATATTACTCACGGATTTCGATGTTAAACCAGTGATATTACGATTTCGTACATCCCATCTTTAAGGGGATGTAGAAAAAAACGTGTACAATTCTTGTATAATGTTAAAAAATTAACCGTTACTTCGACAGCGTCATTTACAACTAAATTTAATGAATGAGAGAGATGCACCAGGTACAGAAAAGGCTCTAGAATTTATTTTCCTTAAATTTACGATTTATGTATCCGTTTGTCATAAAAATTTGTCTTTCCACTTTTTTCCCGAGACTACAAATATTCGAGTACAAAGTAACTGGTTTCGACTTATTTCTACTTAAGAAGTAGTTAAATAATTAAGCGATTAGGGAATTGGGGACATAAACAAAACCCTGATGAAAGAGCCGGAATATTACTTAAACAAAAGCTTAACCGAACCAATCTATAGCCGAGTACAGTGGGGACTGATTTCTTCGAAATACTGTATTAGATGTAATAAAGACAGAAATTTTTCCAGTTCGACGAGAGTGACCGAAAAGTTGTAAATTTTGGAAATTTCCGTGGACAACACCTGGTCCTAAAACGAATTAGTTAGAAAACAAAAGACGGACAATCTATTAAGTTTAACATATTTAGATTTTTACAGCTATGGTGAGAAACGTTTAAAATTTACAACAACCCTGTCGCGTCCTTTGAGATATACTAGTGATGCGACAAAAGAGGCATTTGACATTGACCGGTATCGGCACCCTCGGGATTTGGCAGCCCGCGTGCATGTACAGTACACACCGCACACCTAGCAGGACCGTCTCTGATTCCACTCGTAGGGAGCTATTTGACTAAGTGGTTAAGATTTAAAGAGTAAAGAATATTTTATGTTATTTTCATGTACGTTTCATTACAAAGTTATATTTAATTATAATTTTCTTTAAAAGTATATTCATACAATTGAAGAATATTTTGTACCAGGTATGTATATCCACCACACATTTTATTTCACCAAGTAAGTTTTTATAATTTTATTTTTAATTTTAGCCCTTATATCGTGGCTAGCGATTCGGAATGTAATTGCGATATTGAAAATTTATTTTAAAAAAGTTTTGGCTCGAGATCATATAATGAAAAAGAAAACATTATTAAAAGAGAACGGCCAATGCCTAAGTTAAATATAAACGCTTCAATAAAAAAATTTGTTCGATATTTTCACGATAAAATGGCTCTGTAAATGCATAAAAATGCATTTACAGAGTGAAATTAGTGTGTGGAATAAGAATGTCTTTGACAATTTAGCTGGCAAAAGACACGAAAAATCGTCGATTCTTTCGTATTTGAAGCAATTTGGAAATCGAAGCGGAATAGAATTTAACATTAGTAAATAATATAAAATAAATATTGAAAATTGTAACGAGATAATTATGGGTAATAGATATATTATATCTAAATAAATAGATGTTATATGTTTTTATCAAAGCAAGAATTGGCATTTAGAGGACATGTGGAATATATTGGATCTAAGAACAGAGGTAATTATAATGAACTTGTTTATTAAGTACGTTAGATAAATAATCTATTAAAAATACATTTAAAGAAAGAATTAACTGATTGCCCCTGGATGTCGGCTTCTTATAGAAACACAGCTTACCTATCATCAAATGTCACGGCACGCCCCTGCTGCGCACTGACGAAGGATTCGAAGGAGATTCCAAAAAGATTCTGACAAGTTCTAGTAACGAGGGACGAGGGTGTAGTTAGACCCACAGTAGCGTGTCTGAGTGGTAATAAATGAGAACGTACAAACCATCCCGAAAATTTCCAGTTTTTGATCGCCCGAAGCATTTCCGAACAGTTTTTGGCTACCGGAAACATGAGATAATTAGTTTGTTTATAGCTCGAAATGATGCAACTTTCAACGTCATCACATCAATATTACTTTAATAAAACCGAAGACATTGAGCGTGGAAATAACTTAAACTTTTCGATTCTTGCAGTTTATATTTCTTATCGTCGTTTTGATTTAATAAATTTTCATATATTACCAAATCATCAATTTTTAAAAAATTATAATTGAATTAATTTAAAATTGTGAACATTTAACATGATTACAAGGCTTACGTCCACGTAACTCGTGACGGATTTGTTATGACGTTCGATTTAACCAACAATAGTTTAAAAGCGTTCAATTTTAATTGTCGGTCGCCATCTTGGAGTAGATAATTTTACGGAAATTCAAAGTTTTTCTCGCTCCATTTCGTCATTTGTCGAAAAACGTTGATATAGAAAACTTCTAAAATGTAAGTAATTTCCTTTTAAATTTGATAATATCACGTGTTTATGTGCTTTATATAAAAAAAAAAAAATTTCAACAAAACTTTACGTTTATACCAATTGGAACATTCTGATTTAACACGTTGCAGTGCGTCTAACAATTGCATTTGTTGCATTCATAAACAGTTTTTTCCTTAAAGATGTAAAAATGAACCAATTCAAGTGCCAACTCTAATCTCATCGACTATACATTATTATCAGTTACGTTGTGTTACTCCTCCGTGCATAAAAGTGAATATTTTTTAAATTACATTCTCTGTGTTCATTAAAGTCGGCTGTGAAAGAAAAGCGGAGTCACCAATAAGTAAAGATGGCATAACTTCCTCACTAATTCTTTCCCCTAATGCTAAAGAATTTGTAATTTGTAAGAATTACCTTGACGTGATGATCAAAAGGAAAGAAAATAAATTAATGCTTGAACCTTTTAGAAAACAATGTTCGATCAATAAAACATTGAATTATCGTTCGAATATCCCTTTGCATATAAAAAAGAACATTTTCTATATGGAATATAAAAATATACTTAGCAGAACTAGCGAACAAGAAAGGAAAAATAAATATATTAACGACTTACACAGGAAATTCAGTTTAAATGGATACCCTACCAGATTAATCAACAATTGGCAAAAAAACATCGATAATAGTGTTGCTTTTCCTCTCAAGAGAGAAGAAGAAAAGAAAAAAATTAAATACCTAAGCTTTCCATATATAAAACATGTGTATGAAAAAATTGATAAAGAACTTCGGAAAAATAATATACAACTTGCACCAAATTATAAAAATTTAATATCTAGATTAAATACGAAACAACGTCTAAAAAATAAAATAGAAAATAAAAACGAAACTAAAAATGTTGTCTACAAAATACCTTGTACTTGTAAAAGTAATAGTTTTTATATAGGTGAAACCAAAAGAACATTAAAAATACGTGTAAAAGAACACATATCTGATTTAAAATATAGTCGTTTGACTTCTGTTTTCCACGATCATTGCGTAACCAATAACTGCAATATAGATCAATTCAATATACAGATTTTACATAAAGAAAAACGAATTTATGACAGAAAATTTAAGGAAAGTGTGGAAAGATTAAGAAATAAACATCAGGGTTGTATAAACAAAAACCTAAGCGTTAAAATTAATGAAAATTGGTTGAAAATATTATAAATAAAATGTATTAGATTAACATGTATTAGATTAATAGAATGGTATGAAAATAATTAATTAATTTAAATCAAATAATATTCGAAAAACTTTCTTAATATAGCGAAGGTGTAGTATTGATGTCATATGTAAATTGGATAAACGGACAGTAAATACGCAGGGTAAAATTTAAACGATACTGGTGCTTTACCATATAAAAAAATGGTTTTTTTTTTTTCCTTCAAGCTTACAAATGTTTATTGATTGACCTTTTAGCTCATTAAATCACGGCACATCGTAATATATGCAAATCGTCTAACTAGTTGATGGTGTGACAGGAAAGGCTAATGAGATACGCTTGAAGGAACGGATAAGAATGGTATGACTTTATGTAATAGTTTAAACTTGTAATTTTTTAGATTTTAAATTTGTAAATTTTATCAATTATTCTGTCCGCGTGATAAAAAATTAAGATAACAAATTATGTTATTGTAAAAAATAAAAATATGGCATTTATGGTACAAACGTCATGTAAACCTATGGGTCGTCTGGTGTCCTACTGTATATTTGGTGTCTGTATCGAAGTGAGGTATGTTTCACTGGAAAAACAAAAAATTTTTGTACGTTTTTTAGTTTTTTATTTGTGTTTGGTTGTATTCATATAATATTTTATATCTATTTAGTTGGCTGAGGAGGGGCAAATGCCCGAAACGTGGATGTATAGAAAAGCTTTCTAACTGAATAAAGATTGAAAACTTGCCTAGTGTTGAAAAAAAGTCACTTCATTGTGCCAGTATACAATATATATACAACAACACGTTTTCGACAACAACAACAAATTTGTAAGAATGTTAAAAGTAAATATGAATTTTTAAATATATTTGCATCATTATTCCTCCCAGAAGATCTTATATTTATCTTTTTAAACATATACTTAACATATAGGAATGTGTGATCCATCAATTGATCAAAAGCATTGCGGAAAATTCCAAAACTCGTAAAAATCATTAATTTTGTAATTCGATTTCATTTCTTGTTTGTGGAAATTGGATACAGGTAGATATTACGTTATTTATAACTCTTTGTAAGTATCATAGATACTCGTGCAATGCGTATATGCCCGTTTAATCCATGCCCGAATCGCTGCATATTTAATGTGCCTAGGATCGATGGAATTAAGGATGAGTATAATATTATTTCGTTTTGAAACATGGGCAGGATATTGCTTTCCATCTGACGCGAAACTAATTCACATAATACAGCAGACGTGGGGCTACCCATTGGCACACCTCTTCCTTGTAGATATGTCTTTTCTTCAAAATCGAAAAATGATGTATAACAGACTAAGTCGGCCAGCTCTAAAATTTGCTTGTGGTATTTCCTTGCATTTTTGATGTTAGTGAAAAGGAAATCTCTTAATGCACAAAAACATTGCGGTAACTTTATTGAAGGGTATAAGGCCTTATAATCCATCACAGTCATATATTCTTTATCTTTAAGAAAAATGCACCTCAGCTTCTCTACTAATTGTAACGAGTTTTTAATGGAATAGGGTGATTCTTGTATCTTAGAACTTATAAATTTGACTAGTTGTTTTTCAATGTAGAAAGTAGGTGAATTGCATTTCTCAATAACCGGACGTATCTGGTAGCCCGGTTTATGCGTTTTGCCAAAAGCAAAAATTCTGGGTGTTCTTGAAGCTTGAATAGTTGCATTCTGTATTTGTAAGAGTCTAGCCAAAGGGGTTAAGGTGAATTTCTTGACTCTATGTTGTAAAGACTCTAAATTTGCTAGGTGCTGTACGGCATTCCGTGTTTCTGATGTGTTTTTGTAATTTCTGGTTATAGGAATCTCGTTTGAAAAGTACCACACCTTTGGATTTATCTGCTCTTGTAAATACTACATCGTTCTTCTGTAGCCACTGCTGTGATTTTTTTATGTAGCCGTGAAATCGTCTTGCATCCAGATTAACTTTTCTTTTATAATGTATATTATAATTTATAATTATAAATTTTTGTAATGCAGTTATTTATAACTGCATTACAAAAATTTACCATAACAGAAATGAATTTTATTTCCATTCATGTACAAATCATAAGTCTGGTCTCTCTGTGCCGCACTCATTTTACAAGAAATTGTTTAGTACAGTTTTTTATGGAAAAATCATTTATTTATAAACAAGGTGTCTATTTTTTTATAAGTAAGGTTGTTTTTTGTTTAATAATTGAAGAGTTCCCTGAAATAAGGTGCTAACTCTCATTGTTTCGAAATTTCATATGTAATGATAAATTTATTCTTAAGTTTTCAATGGCGAGTCGAGTCACATTAATTTATAATTCCTTTCGTTACTTTCAAGTAAGGAAAATATTTTAATATTTTAAATATTAATACAATACGTATAAAAAACAAATCTATGAAGCATTTCATATCCCATATTTATATTTTATTTGTATTCTAATAATACACAAAAGTCTTTTTTAAAAACTTGAAAATAATCTGCCTTTTACCTTCAGACATGTTAAAAATCTATTTAATATTCTTCATAACCAGGAAAACATTCTAAAAGAAATTATTTAATTTATACATGTTATGCAACATATTCATTTTATCGAATAAATTTACTTACTGCCTGTGTCTATTATACAAGCCCGACAACATCTATCCCAAGTACTGAAGTTATTACAACTTGTAGTGCATCCTCCATCATCGAATTGTTCGCATTGTCCACTAGTGGTATTGAAAAACCATTGTCGAAATCTATTGTAACATTCGTTTGGATTTACAGTCACTTTACAACATTCTGAAAATATCAAGAAAATATAAATCAATATTACTTATATTATGTACTTTTAAAATTAAATAGATATTTTATGGGCTAACTTTAAAGATACTCACCAGATTTTTCAGAATTCGCTTTCAGGAACAACACAGAGAAACAAATGAATATGGCAGTCTTCATCATTGTTAACGATATCTGGTATAGGGAATTTTGTATGACATGTATTTATACAGTAGCGGCTTGAATTAATAAATAGAAAATTGTGTCAATTAAACAGAATATTCGTTATAACGAGTGTCCTGCAGTTTGATCTATTTATTTTCCATTCGATATATCATTCGACGCCATTTGTTAACACGGTTTCATTTTAAAATTATACGTGTTTTTAAAATTCTGTGAAATATTAATATTCTCTGCCAGTTACAAAAGATAAAGTTTGTTAAAGGACTGAAATCTTGTATAAAGTATCTAATAAAAGCAGAGTTATACTCACGGGCGTAGCCAGGAAGGGACATGGGTGGGCACGGCCTCCCCCAGTTAACCTGGTGCCCCTCCCCAGAAAATTACAGCCAAAAAGTGTTGAGCCGATTTGCAAAAAGAAATAAAAAGCTGAAGCTAATTTAATTGGGTGTAGTGTACTCACTGAAAGTCTAGATCAGGCACAGCCAACATACGGCCCGCTTAATGAATTTATGCGGCCCGCGATTAATCTTTGAATATCAGACTTAACTTCAAATAATTGCTCGAATGGATCCGCGATAATTCCTTATATCCTCACAATGTGAAGTGATAGGAAAGTTGAGAAATTCTGATCCCTAAAAAAAAAAAAACTTTTCACATTGGGCTTTCTGTTCCCAATGTGAAAAGTGTATCTGTAATCTCTATGTACTGTACAGTTCAGTCTCTACGGGTTAAGGCATTGCTAGAGTTTGATATTAATATGATTAAAGGAAGTTTCATATTATATGTGTGTTAAGTTATTGTCGATTCTTATGGAAATTTCATTTTAATAAACAATAAATTGAAATAATTCAATTTTGTGTCAGGCTGGCCTATACTAGGCCCCCAATAACAAAACTCTGGCTACGCCAATGGTTATACCTCGTTCGCACCGAGCATTTCGATCTAGATTGTGACTAAGGCCGGCGACTATGTCGTGGTGCGACCTTTCTCGACCGTTTCAATCTCGACTGAAACGAGGTTCAATCGCGATCGACTCAAGAGTTCTTGAAACTAAATCCAGTCATAAGAGAGATCCCACAATCCCATGCGCGCGAGAAAATACAAGATGGCTGCTGAACACGCGTGGGACTATTAACAGAGAAATAAAAAATACATCTGGAAAGACGATGACATCTGCCTATTATTAGATATATGACAAGAAAAAGTGTTTATTTCTAACCAAAACGTCCATTTTGTTTGTTGGTGTTCGAGGCTTAATGCATCAGTTTTATCATCGCGTGTGATAGCCGGGTTCTTCTCAAGCGGACTACCTGTGCGAACAGCTGGACGTTCGACTGGCGACAGTCACAATTCAGATTGTAGGTAAATCGAGATCGAAGTGAGTAGTGGATTGTGTGCGAACGTAGCATAACGGACCTAGCAATCTTTTGAGAAGTTTTATGTTTCGATTCAAAGCTCGACTGAAAACGATGGTTAAAATCTTCTCCAATGTTTCTTTGTACGGTTCTGGAAGATTTCATACAACAAACTACATTAAACCCCGATTCTATTATATAAGTCGTTTTCATAATTTCAGTAATTGGTTTTAAATTGCATATTTTATTGACATAAAAAATATTGTTTTTATTCAAAAAATCTAAATAGTTATTAAAAAATGTTTGCAATTGGAAGTCTTAAATTTTTAAACGCTTCAATCATTGCTTTTTGGTAAAACTTTAGACATTTCAAAATAAATAATTCAATGTCAGTATTACATAAATCATTAATCGGTGTTCTGGCTCCCAACATAAATTTTTCGATAGCAATAGATTATGTGGATTATATACATTAAAAGTTTCAATATTATCATCATAAGCGATAATACTTTTTTTAAAATCCATCAAAAAGCCCATTATTGTCGGGAGATGGATTCTTGTATTTCGTAAGCCTTTTAATTCTTATAATAGGATTACGAATCATTTTAAAAATCCATCAAAAAGCCATTATTGTCATAGTTAGATGACATACCGCATTGGTTGGCTTGTAGTTTATAATGTACTAGTAGCCCGGAACCCCCTGTGGGCGTTCTAGCAGCAATAGTGTCATTCCTGTTATAAATAATAAAATTCCTATACAGTCGACCCCCCTATAACGTGCGTTCCTATAACGACAATTCCTATAACGTAGCGAAAAAATTGTAGCAACATTCGTATAAAGCAGCTCCTAAAACGTCTTCGCCGACTCGTTTCGCGACAAGATTGATAGAATCTGGACCAATAGTGAATGAGNTTTTTGAAAATAAAAACCGAAGCAAAACTTAACAAGTGCCCACCTGACAGTCTTGCAATACTATAAAAGAATTGTTTCTGTCAGAAAAATATAAGGCTGGAATTACAAGGAAGAGTTTCAAAGTTTGGAGGAATATTATCTGATCAGTGTATACCGGGTTGAGCGTCGATGTCGACATTGACACAATCTGAAGAGAAGGGAAGACCAATCAGGATTCATTATTTTACATCACTTCTTCTTGTGTTTGTTTTGTGAGGTGTTCGTTGTCCGAACATAAAAATCTTTCATTATCCAATTTGTTCATTAACCGATCACCCACTGTATAAGGTATTGCCTGATTGTTCTAACAATGAGCAGATTGCATAATGCTCTTTTATCATGTACCTTAGAGCAACCGCAGCATTGTGTGTTATCACAATTTGTGAAGATTATATTTTTAACTTGCATTTTGTTTTTATGTTTGAAAGATATAAATTGCATGGAAGTTCTGTGGCAATATTTAAGTTTCTTTTTGAATGAATGAAATTATTTTACTGCAGATATAGTGCAACTAGTACATTATATACTATGCATATATTCATGCAATGTTGGAAATATCTCTTTTGTATCTGGATAAATGTTAAAGTGGGAACACTATATTTCTTTCTTTGTAGAATAGTCTTTGTAGGAATTTACCTGGTAGGATTCTGCAATAGCCCCAAAATTTTGTCTGTAAGCCATGAAATTTTTGATCCTTTTCTATCTCATTGTGAAATATATTTGAAGGGTTCTTATGTTGCAGGCAGCTGTTATCTTAATCTAGATTATCTATCAAATGATAGTTATTAGCACTAATAATTTAACTGTAGAAATAGCCAGTGTTAAAGTTAGGAATAAGTAATATGTGTACTGTTGACATTACTTTGGTAAAGCCTTTTAATTTAGTTATTTTTGTTATGTGTTTAGAACATCTATATATTTATTTTTCCATTTTTTCACAAATTTCAGTTTGTTGTCCATGTTTTAAATATTGACTTATTTGGTTAATTTCAATCTGTCAAATTCTCTTCTATATTTCATTTTTTAGTTTTGTATCTGATTTTTACTTTATGCTTTATACAAAAACTAAAGTCTAATTGTATTTGTTATGTATTGGCAAAGCATCTTAACTTACCAAAGCCAAAATGTTTTGTTTTATGTAATTTCGTTGTTAAAGATGATAAATATACACTTCAAAAGTGAAATTGCAACCATGAAGGAATATATGTAGGTAGCCATATGTACATCAGAAAACCAGTAGAGGTGACAGAGATATGCAACAGACACCTGTTTATTCAGTAACAAATATGGCCCCCACGAGCAGCTATACAGGCCATTATCAATATGGTAATTAATGGTTTGCCTGAGATATTCCTTGCCAAGCTGCATCCACTATGGTGTGCATGTTGTCTATAGTATGTGGCAGTGCTCCTGCAGTGCACCTTATATCGGGCAAGATCCCACAGGTGTTTGATGGGAGAGAAATCTGGCAAGGCTGCTGGCTGAGGAAGGATGTGGATTCTGTTCGTGCTGGTGAGAGTTCATCATGTGATGTACAGGAGGGTATTATCTTGCTGGAACACGAGTGCAGCCTGCATCAGTGGCTGAACTACAGGTCCCACAATTTGTGTGATGTACTGGTTCATTGTCAGAAAACCAGAAATATGCTCCAGGGCTATCTGCTGATCGAACCTGATGCCTGCTGTGGGGCTGGTGTGACGCTTGTTGAAAAGGGCTGGCACATAATGTTCCCCAGGATATAATGTCCACTGTACCCATCCATGGCCATCATTCCTCCACAGACAGAAGCAGGATTCATTCACAAACAATACTGATGCCATTTAGTAGTCCAGTTGCGATGACGATGACAAACACCAGGTGTGCAGCCCTACGTTGAGTGGTTAATGGCACCCTGGTTGCTGGTTGCTGTGCATGCAGTCCGACTTCATGCAACCTGTTTTAAATGGTTTGAGCAGACATAGATGTACCCATTGATGACAGGCAGATTCTGATGTCATGTACCATGGTGAACAAGTCCCAAGGGCCATTCAGTGAATCTGCTGGTCCGTGCACTCTGTCGAGTCCAGTGTAATCCATTTTCTCTTTGGCTTTTTCCCAGATGTTAGTTACTGCATCCATCATGTCACACATAGCTGGATGGTACTCTTTAAGTCATGCCCAACACAGATGCACATTAACAAACTGAGGTTAAACAACATACCTGATGAACAACCGTATCATGGAGCTGTGAAAACTGATGTTTCGCAGCTCTATGATATGGTCTCATTCCCTAGCTATTAACTGGTAGAATTCAGCTCACTGTCATCTCTGAGGCATTTTCTACACTTCTTTGAAAGTTTGGCTGCCTTGAACCATTGCTGACAGTATTTATGGCCTGACCAGGCTGCTGTTAAAAGTAATCAGCAGCCTAGTCAGGTCATAAATGCTATCAGCAATGGTATCATCATTATGATATCTGTTAAAGAGTTTTGTCATCTATATATATAACCCATTCAACAGGTGTCTGTCTGTCTGTCCCACTAGAGGCGCCCCTATCGTGTGTCATATTTCAAACATTCAAATTAAATTAACAATATAAATTATTATTATTCGTTTGGCCAATAAATTATTATTTGGTCAATATAACAATATAAATAATTCAGTATATTTGTAATAGGAATTTATTATTGTCACGGAATGCATGTAATGTTCACTAGGGGACAAATAAC